AGCAGCAAGCGTATTATACAGAAGCAACAACAGCAGCAAGCGTATTATACAGAAGCAACAACAGCAGCAAGCGTATTATACAGAAGCAACAACAGCAGCAAGCGTATTATACAGAAGCAACAACAGCTGCCGACTTTGCTCCACATGAGGGTGTGCAGAAATGGAAAGCTGCTACTAACATACAAGCAGGTGGAAAGAAGGCCCCTGTAGACACTCACCTGGTTAGAGTTGCAGCCTGCTGTTGCTGTTGCTGTTGCTGCGGCTGCTGCTGTTGCTGTTGCAGCAAACGCTGCAGCTGTCGTGGCTCCTCTTCGGTCTGTAGCAGCGGCATGTTGACGACGGATGTCTCGGTGATTTCCCAGTCGTCATCGCTTGCCATATTTGTTGCGAGACAGGCAGCAGCAGCTTCTGCCGCCTCCAGGCATGCAGCAGTGGCAGTGCTGCTGGCAGATTCAACCCTCTTCGAATTGCTGTTGCTGCTGTTTCTGCCTTGTGCAGCGTCGAGAGGAACCTCAGAAATCTCTTTCCCGCCTGTACCTGGAGGGCAAACTTTTCGACGCGTAGTCATACGCTGACTCTGACGAGCTTTGTCGGTGCTGTTGCTGCAGTTGCCGCTGCTGGCGATGCTGTTGCTCGTGAAGGCCGATGTCGATGTTTCAAAGGGAGATCTGTCGACAGCAGTTCTACGCGCGCAGTTGCTGCCGCTGCTAAGCGTGCCGTAAGAGCAAGGAGAAGCTATCAAATAGGCTTCCTGCTCCGGCAAAGGCCTCGTTGCAAATCCAGCAGCAGCATCAATAGCTATTGCAGCATCAATAGCTATTGCAGCATCAGCATCGGCAGCAATTGTAGAAGATGCCTCTACGCTTGCTGCAGATGCGCTTTGGAGCGCCTGCTCAGGCTGCTGCTGCTCGTTACGCTGCTGCAAACAGACAGTCCTGTTGTCTGGAAGAGGGAGTTGAAGCGCGTCATCGGCTGTCTGACAGAGGACAGGCGTATTTTCTGGGAACGGTTGGGTAAGTGTCAGCTTCTGCACTTGGCATCCTTCTAGGGGGGGACTATTTTGGACGCTTCTAGATGAGGCATCGCCTTGCGAGTTTTCCTGCGCTGTTTCACTCAGGCCGCCTCCAGCAGATTCTTCTTGCTCCTGCGGCTGTAGGCGCGCAAGAAATTCCGAATAAGCAATGCCGTTCAATCCCTCAGCCGTCGACTCGCTGCCAGCACAGGCTTGCGCAGCTGTTTTACTTCCAGTGCCCAGAAGAGTCGAAAGTGGCCTCCGATTTGCTGCTGCAGCGAAAGAGGCAGAACCGCTGCTGCACACTGCGAGGACGTCTTGATCTGCTGCTTTTGCTGTGGCATCTGCATTAGGGCTGCTGCTGCTGCTGCTACTGCCACAGCTGCTGCTGCTGCTGGTGCTTCTGTATCGGAGGTCTCTGATGATGGCTGTATAGTGACCAGAGGCTGCTGATGCGCCTTGATGCTGCAACACTGCGAAAAGCCGGTACGTGCTCGCCAGAGCCGTTGCTTCCGAAAGAGGCATGCAACCCCCCAAAGGCACTGCAGCCACAAGCAACACACAGCAGCAGCAAACAACGCGCGCCTTAGGGGCTGTCTGTCTGCGTATATATTTACATATATATATATATATATGTATACCTGTGTTGTGTGTGTATGTGTGTGTGTTTGATAGCCTCAAGGCTCGCACGCATGCATGCATCTAAGGACAGCCGGAAAAAATTCACAAACACAGAGGAGAGCGGCAAATCCTTCAGCTGCTCTTGCACGAAGGCAGGCAGACAGACAGACAGGTAGGTAGACAGGCAGGCAGACAGACAGACAGGTAGGTAGACAGGCAGGCAGACACTCGAGGCACTTGTTCGCGCAGGAGAGGCCGCATAGCAAAGATCCTAAGCCACAGCATCATGCGGCTGTATTCAGAGCCAACTAAATCAACAGGAGACGATAGCCGTTGGAGTAGGGCACCTGGAAGAACGGAGAAACGGGAAGCATTCAGAAGAGGGATACACAGCAGCAGGAAAAAGCTTTTTCGCGCGCAAAATTAACTGACTTGAGACTCTGCAGTTTTCTGCAAGACACGGCTTAAGATCCAGGAGCAAAGGCACTTCGAGCGCCTCGTGCAACTTCCGACGAGCCACTTCTCCCGTGTGCTTCCGCACATCTATGCTGTAGCGCAGTACCACCACCTTCACCAAAAGCCAGAGCAACACACACCAAAAGACACTCCAAACATTTAAAACGCAGCCTCCAGGTGCCCCGCTGCCTCTGTGTTTGTCTGTCTGTGGGTGTCGCAAAGCAGCGAGATTGCCAGCAGCGTATGTGTATGTGAATCTTTACATATATATGATGTGCATGTGAATGTGTATGTATATATGTGTAAATATGTGCATGCGAATGTATATACGATGTGTATGCGAATGTGTATGTATATATGCGTAAATATATATATATATACGTGTGTGTGTGTGTGTGTGTGTGTGTGTGCGTGTAGCTGTGAAAAAGCAGGGGCAGACGGTAAAATCACGGCGCAGCAGGGAAGAATCATTTTTCGTGTACGTGTGTGGAGGCGAGGCTGCCCGTCTCTGTCTCTCTCTCTCTCTCTATATATATATATATCCGCTTCTGCCGCGTGCGGTATTTGTTCAATGAGGCATGCGAACCTGCAGGTAAGGAGGCAGCAGAGAGAGCTGCAGCCTCTTTTTAGCTTCGCGCTTGACCATACAGCGCGGGCAGAAGTACTTGGCATCTCCGCGAAGTTGTTCTGTCCGCTGAAACTGCCGAGCCATATCCTCCCCTAGCCTCCAGTTGCTGCGTTCCGTTGCGGGTGGAGGTGTTGCTGCTGTTGCTGCTGCTGCTGTTGCTGCTGCTGTTGTTGCTGCTGCTGTTGCTGCTGTTGTTGTACCTGCTGCTGTTGTTGTGCCTGCTGCTGCTGCTGTTGCATGCCCTGCGAAAGATCCTATGAAAGGCGCTGGCGGGGGAAGTGGCGTTAAGAGGCTATCGACATGACTGCCTTCGTCGGCAGAGGCACCTCCTCCCCCTGTCGCAGCCATGGCTTGCACAAAGTGCTGCTGCTGCTGCTGCAGTGCCTGATGCTGCTGCGGATGGCTTGTGCTCTTAAAGCCTCCGTGTCTCTCTCTCTTGGTGCCAGTGGTGCGTCGGTTCCCTTGTGGCAGCAGCAGGAGCTGCTGATGCTGCTGTTGCTGCTGCTGCTGCTGCAGTGCCTGATGCTGCTGCTGCTGCTGCTGCTGCAGGAGCTGCTGCTGCTGCTGCTGCTGCTGCTGCTGCAAGCCGAGCCCTTCGTTGACGTCGTCACCTGCAGAGGCTGCGGGGATGGCCGTCGCAGTTGCTGCTGCTGCTGCTGCGGAGGGGGGAGGGGGGGGGGATGGTGTGTGTGGCTGCGCTTTTTCGTCCTTATTGCCAGACTTCTTTTCATTCTTGTGGCTGCAGCTGAGCTGGTAAAACGTCTCCTCCCGAAGGCCGGTGTAACCACAGCTGCGGCAAGACACAGCTTGCAGATGAGCTCCCCGAAAAAGGCTTGGCAGAAAATTCCACGGGCTGCTGCTGCCTCCTAGCTCCTCCTCAAGCATCTCTAACAGACGATGTTGCAGCTCGTTCGCGTCCTCCTGTGCAGCAACCGCACATAATCAAAGCCTACAAAAAGCGGTCCATCAAGTGTGAGCGCGCTAAAAACAGAGAGAGAAGGCAGCCGCGAGGGAGCACTGCGTCCTTTGAAGCGGCAGCCACACGAACGACCAAACGACACAACATGCCCAAAAGCCTCACCTGGCAAGACACATCATCCGCAAGAAGCTCCGCGAGAGACTCCGGCCGAACTGCCGCTTGAACGCCACACTGCAGCAGTGCAAAAATCCTCTGAAGCTCCGCAACAAGAGCATACTTGCTGCTGCGTAGCCACCTGCATGCAGAAGCAGCGCTCACCTCATCCAGAGCCAACGCAGGCGCACTGCTGGTATTTTTGTTATTGTTGTTATTACTGCTGTTATTACCGCTGTTATTACTGCTGTTATTACTGCTGTTATTACCGCTGTTATTACTGCTGTTATTACTGCTGTTATTACCGCTGTTATTACTGCTGTTATTACCGCTGTTATTACTGGTAGAGGCATTATACGACGTTTCCCGCTTCTCCTCCTCAGCACTTTCCAAAGCAGTATGTCTAAAAGTGCATGGCGCAGAGTTGTTTGCAGGTGCTAGACTATCTCCGTTCGTGAGGACTGTGGGATCGTGCGCTCTATTGATTTGAGGAAGCGTGTGTCGCAGAGCTGCATCCATCTCCATTGGACGAATTGCCGAGTCGCACTGCGTAGGCTGCCCCTGCGCAGGCGTGGGGGTGCTGTAGGGAGGTTCATCATCGAGACAGATTACCCCATCATCGTCATCCCCCGGCGGCTGCTGCTGCATCTGCACTTGCTGCTGCTGCTGCTGCTTGGCGGTGCTGCTGCTGCCTTGCGATTCTGCATATTTCAGCTGCTGCAACGTGGGTAGCAGCAGGAGAGCTTGACGGAAGTGGACGTTCATATACAGTGCCTGAAGAAAGACGTTCATATAACACGTGGCTCCCAGATTTTCCAATCCAACGTACCGTCCAGAACGCAGCATGCAGCCGTTGATGTCTTCTTCCTGAAACTGCTGCTGAACAGCAAGACTGACGCCACTTGTCTTAATACCGCCACCATCGCCGCCTACGGGGCCTCCTTCTTGCTGCAGATTCTGATGCTGATTCTGCAGATTCTGATGCTGCAGATTCTGCAGATTCTGATGCTGCTGCCTGCAGCACGCTGCAAACCACCGAACGTTGCTGGCAAGCTGACTGTCAGTCTGCTGCTGCAGCGCCTCCTTCGCTTTCCGAGAGTCTCTACTCCCCCCGTTCTTGCTGCTGCTGCATCCCCGTCCCCACAAGCCGCTTTTGAACTCCCCCATGCCATACACGGAGAAGGGGTGACACTCTATGTGGACGTCCTTCGGCACAGAAAAACCGACGCGCAGATTGTATGCAAACACCACATCGCTGAAACAGCACTGTTGCGGAGACAGCTGCGAAATCTGCTTGATCTCTGGAATGCAAACAGCCTGCAAAGTATGGCGTCTAGGCGGGGAAAGGCCCCCCTCTTCAGAGGCTTCAATGCCTCCAGCAGCACGTGTCGGCGATATTTGCCGTGCAGTCAAGTCGGGAGATCCTCCTCTTGCATCTCGCATGCACTTTGCTACCGCTTGAGCCGCTGCCATGGCGGCAACTGGAGCGCTGTCAGCGTCTGCAGTTTCGCCTTCCTCTTGCCATCGCACCACACCAACTTCTGCAGGGGCTGCTGTTGCTTCTGCTACAGCAGCAGTTTCCTCTGCTGCTGTTACTGCTACAGGAGCGATTACTTCTGCCGCCTCGCTAGGTTCTGCATTGCAAGCAGACGCTGTCTCGATGGATGCTGCGTTTTCCCCGGATTCAAATGGGCTGCTGCTTCGACAAGAACCCTTCTCTACTGCTTCTGCGGCAACAGCAACAGCAGGAGGGTCCTGCGAAAGATGCATCGAGTTATGCTGCACTGCGAGTGGATAAGTTGGTTCCTCTGGAAATATTCTCCCTTCTACAAGAGGATCATGCTGAGATACGCCTCCAACGCTGTCGAACCCTTTTGATGCACCTGTTTTTATAGCCGCTGTTTCTTCCACAGGATTGCACGGGACCGCACTGTACAGCAGCGGGATATCCCCCTCACTGCTGTTGCTGCTGCAAGGATCTAACGCAGAAGCAGCGGCTGCAGCATGAAAGACTGGTGCTGCTATCACGTGCTGCCTGGGTGCAGACGCCATCCTGCATGAGGACGCCTGCTGCCTCTGCTGCTGCTGCTGCAGCTACGGTATGCGTATAGCATCGCAGACGGATCAAACGGCTCCTACAGCAAAACACAAGCTGCCTCTGCTTCTGTTGCTGCTGCTTCTGCTTCTGTTGCTGCTGCTTCTGCTTCTGTTGCTGCTGCCTCTGCTTCTGTTGCTGCTGCTTCTGCTTCTGTCTCAGCTTCTGCTTCTGCTTCTGTCTCAGCTTCTGCTTCTGCTGCAAATGACGTGAGGCGACTTGAAAGGGGCTCGCAAGTAATTGGAGAGTGCCTGCTGCATGCGTTGCATAAAGAGGAGGAGCAGCAGGAGGAGCAGCTTTCCTAATGCCGATTTTGCGTGACAAGCGCACAGAGACATTTGTTGCCCTTGCCTTCTCCTGCCTTGTCTTGGTGCTGCATCAGGAGGCGGGGAGACAGCAGCGCAGAAATATGATGAATGGCTTCTCGTGGTCTGTTGGGCACGTGGTCGCGGCGAAAGTGGTGGCAGTGATCGCAGCTGCATGCGCTCCAGCTGCTGTTTTTCAGTACGGCAATATTGCGTCTTTGAGATGAAGCATTCAAGGCCGTGCAGTGCCTCCTGCAGCCTGTCCGCAGCAGACGCCGCAGCGGACGGGTAAGCCGCTGCCGCAAGCACTACCCTCGAGAGCAGCACTCCCTCCGTTAATTTGAGTGTCTACGCCCCTGTGGCAGCGGCCGCAGCCAGGAGAAGCAAGAAGATGATGGACTTGGGAGAACGCTGCAAGAGGACTTGCCCGCAGGAAGTGTTTCCGCAGGCGCATAAGGTCGGGAGGGGCCCTCTCTTTTCGTTGGTAGGGGCCCCCCTGGGCTGGTGCGGCGGCAGCTGCGATGAGCAGGCAGGCGTTGATCTGCCTTTTAATGGATTGCACTGCCAATATCTGGCGACAAAAAGCGTTCCATATTGGGTTTAATCTCTAAATAGTGTCTGTTTCGCGCGGCATTGCCACGCACGGGTAACCTAGGCAGCTAGCAGCTCTCTACCGTGCCCGCCCACGAGGGGGGCAGGGAAGGGGGGAGGGAAGGTAGGTAGGGGCAGCTAGGGAACGGGGGAGCTCTCACTACTCGCAAACCTCTCTCTTTAGCACCCGCAGGTGCACCTACTTGGCGGCATTGGACGCTAAACTCTGTTGCGTTACATCGTGTGTCTCCTATGTTCGACGCGCCTCGGCCGCAGGAGCGACGGAGGCGCAGGCTTTTTACGCGCATTCCAGCAGTCAGGTTCGTCCGACACGGTTCAATCTGTACAGTGTGTCTATGTGTAACATCCCTGTACAGTGGGGTAATCGCTGAGGGGAGCCAAAAGCAGGGGCAGGGGTGTCGCTAGTGCACCATCCTGCAGATGCTGAGTGCCCTCTTCCCCCCCCTTTCCTGCCACCCCAACACCCACATCCGTAGATGTAAGAAGCATGCGCTTAGGCACTAAGTACTGCGCGCCTCTGTGCCGTGCTCGAGAATTGCTAAGTTGGCCTCTCTCGTTTCGCCGTCACGATTATCCCGTGTTTCAGAATACAGTTAGGTCGCTCCGGTATGTAAGAAGGATGCATGTGGCTGCCTCCTGAATGGCGCAAGGCGCTAGTGGGAGCTACCGAATGCTGGGAAAATGCTTATGAGAGCGCGCACCCAAAAAGCTGCCCGTATCCTATTACTTTGGACCCCTGTTACGCGAGGGGGAGCAAAAAAAATGGAAACAGCACTCACTAGCTTCTTACTAAGTTTGTACGGGGTTGTGGTACGGCTATATATACCCTAAGTGGAGCTGAACACTGTAGGATATAGCTGCTGCTTTTTATCATTTGCTTGCTGCAGCTGCATAGGGAAGGGGCGGGGTGTCGCAGCAGCCGCACGGTTTGATGGCGTTGATGTTTTTTTTGCGGCAACTGTGTCCTCTGCTGCTGCCCTAGCAGCAAGAGCAGCGGCTAGCCGGTCCAGCTTTCTTATGAGGGCCTCATTGTCTTCTTCGGCGGCCAAGCAGCGTCGTGTTGCAGCTTCCAAGCCTGCTGTTGCACCTTGCAGGTGTTGTTGTTGCTGCTGCAGTTCCGCCTGTATGTACAAAAGGACCGCAGCAGCCGACGCTCAATGCGGCAAGCCGCTACGTGTTAGCGTTACCACTCGATCTCCCGTTGCTGCTCTCCAGCTAGACTAAGAACCATCCCCCTGTTGCTCCTTCTGCTCGCGCAGTAGCCAGCTAGCTAACCTGCAACGCTGCCTTCTCGGCCTGAAGGGCCTCCTGTCGTTGCACCCCTTCCGCATGCGCCAGCGTTAGCTGCAGCAGCACACCAGACACGGCGAGCCGGCTGTTGCGCTGGCCTCTGAGATTGCTACACTAGGCATAAGGGAGCTTGAGCCCTTACATGTGCCACGAGCTGCTCAGTTTGCTGCTGGCGTTCTTGCAGTCGCTGCTGCTTCTGCTGTAGCTGCTCCTGCTCGCGTTGGTGCTGCTCTCGCAGCTGCGACGCACAGAGCAAGACGCCATCGTGCGAATACCAGGAGGCCTCGCCTTCAAAAAGCATGTTTCAAACGGGGGCAGCAGCAGCAGCAGCAGTAGCAGCAGTAGCAGCAGCAGCAGTAAAAGCAGCAGCAGTAAAAGCAGCAGCAGGAAAGGCAAGAATTTAGCGTACTTGCTCTGCTGCGGCCTGAGCGACCTCCAAGTGTCTCTGCAACTGCCATTGCCGCTCTTCGCTCTGCTGCAGTTGCTGCTGCAGCGTTTCCAGCGACATATCTGATTTCCGCTTTTCAGCCTCAACTGCAGCCAAGGCCTAAGCAGCAGCAACAGCAGCAGCAAGTAGGCAGGCGTACTGGGCTACGTGCTGTTGCTAACACGAGCATCATATTCTAATTTCAAGCGTAGAGACAATTTCACTCAAAAAACCTGTGCTGGTGGCACGCTTGCTTGGTCACCTGCGTTTTCGCCTCTAGAATTTCCTCGAGATGCTGTCTCTGAACCAAACGCTCAACCTAAGGCACAGTAGCAATTGCACTAAAAGCCTTAGAGACAGAGACCTATCAGCTCAAATTAAAGTCACAATATAGCCGCAAAAGCATCAGCAAGAACAACGGCCCCTGCAGCCTTCTACTTTGGTATTTCTGTCTCTCTCAGATTCCTTTCTCCGCAGCTGCGCTTCCAAATCCGCTACCTGCACATCAAGAGCAGCATCATCGGTGTAATCATCAGCATCATCGGTATAATCATCAGCAGCATCGGTGTAATCACCAGCAGCATCAGTGTAATCATCAGCAGCATCAGTGTAATCATCAGCAGCATCGGTGTAATCATCATCATCATCGGTGTAATCATCAGCAGCATCGGTGTAATCATCAGCGGCATCGGTTTTATCATCATCATCATCGGTGAAATCATCATCATCATCGGTGTAATCATCAGCAGCATCGGTGTAATCATCAGCAGCAGCTTCATGCTCAGCGTCATCATCATCATTATCACGCGCAGTTGTTTTATCAGGTATGAAACGACAGAGAGGAAATGCAACTTTATGCCCCCCAGGCACGGGACCTACTGTCTGGCGCTGCTCTGCGAGGGCAGCTGCCTGCGCTTCCAGCTGTTTGCGAAGATGCCGTTCTGCTTGCTCTGATCTTGGCTGCTGCTGGGTATGCAGGGAAGAAGCGGTGAGGCTTTTTTGAGCTCTTAGTTCCTTCTCTTGCTGCAGCCTCAATGCCAGGCCTAAGCACAGAGCGCCAGCAACGCACAGCGACAGGTGCAGGGAGCAGCTGCCGATGCTGTGACGGTGGGAGCAGGCTGCTTGCTGTCGCAGTTCAAACGGCTAGCTTGATGCATTACACACACACACACCTGATAAGTGCAACTCGCGTCTCGTTGCCTGCAGCAAGCAACAGGGGCATCAGGCCCAACGACAACCATCACGTAGTAACAGCCGGGAGGATGCGCATGCGCGAAAAAACTGCAGCAAGACGTCGATTGGGGGGGGGGAAGGGGGGGAGGAAATGCCTGCATTCGCTACTCAGCCTTTAAAGAGGACTCACTGCGAGTTCTGCCTGCAGTGCAGCAAACGCCTCAGCACTCTGCAAAACGTCGTCACGCAGCAGACGCAGCCGACACACGAACAAAAATGCTCTCTAGAGACTCAAGGATCTGCGTCTGCCTGAATAGGCAGGATACAAATAGGACTCAAAAAACGCTGGCATGCAGAGAAACAGCTACGCCTGCGCTGCCCTGTACTTTCGCCCTTTATTTCTCTTTCTCTTTCTTTCTTTCTCTTTCTTTCTTTCCTTCTCTCTCTCTTTCTCTGCAAAAGAGAGGGGCCTTAGCGAATGCGAGTCGAGACATGAAATACAGGGCGATATCTATTTATCTATATTATATACATAGACACGGTGCGTTATATAGGGACGTACCGGAGATTCGAGAGCTTGGGAAGCCGCTTCGCTTGTTCTGAGACGAGGACAGTAAGCCAGCATGTGTGCAAGACTTGTACAGCCTAACCTTTGCTTCATCGAAGCAGCAGACAGCAGCAATGCAATGTATTTGACACCTTCATCGGCGAAATGCAGGGGGATTGCATGAGGCTTACGCAGTGGCATCTGGAGCGGCAGCGGGAGGCGTTGCTTGGGGCAATCCACACTGCTGCTGCACACATGAAGAGGTGGGGTCAAGCAGTAACACCCCGAAAGGCAACCATGAAAGTGGTGCGGGCACATACACACAAACACGCATACACACACAAACACGCATACACACACAAACACACATACACACGAACAAACACGCATACACGCAAACAAACACACATACACACGAACAAACACACATACCCGCAAACAAACACACATACACACACATACACGCAAACAAACACACATGCACATACATATACACATAATGAAGGAGTTGGCGAAGGAGCTGCTTACAACGTTGGGGAGGCGGCTCTGCTGCTGTTGTTGCAACAACAATGCTGCATGCTGCTGTGCAGCAGCCGCGCTTGCTGCTTGCAGCTGCTTCACAGTCTCCCGGGCCTCCTCTGTACGCCGTTGCTCTGCCTGCAACTTCATCTGTAGTTCTTCGATTTGCTTCTGGTGCCGGGAGAACAAGCGTTGCTGCCTCTCGACGTCTGGCATCTGCTGATGCTCCTCCGCCTCCGGCTGCATCGCCTTCACACAGGATCCGCATCTGGAGATTTGCTTTTGCTGCTGTTGTGGCAAATCGCACGGCTCATGCACTTGTGAGTCCTCTCAATGGCGGTGCCTACCTGGAGCTTTTGCGAGGAATATTTTAGCTGCAACGCAGCCAACGCTGCCTCTGCTGCAGTCGCCCTGCAAGGGGGAGGGGAGGAAGCAGGGGGGGAGGCAGAGAGAGTGAGACACACACACACACAGACACACACAAACACACACACACACACACACACACACGCACAAACACACGCAGTCGAATGAGCAATCCCAGTGCAGCAGCTTCCTGTCTATCTACGCCTTGCCATGTGCATGTGCAGCGGGATGCAGCGGAAGCACCAGAGGCGCTTTCAAGAGAGATAGCGAAAGACAGACAGCGACAGAGAGAACAAGAGAGGCAGAGAGAGAGCTATAGATAGATAAATTATAGACGAACAAAAAGCCCCAGCCACCCTCATCGATACACCCAAGGCAGCATATATGGACCTTCCGATGGCATGCTGCAGTGCGGCCTCCCCATTCGCGGAGCGGGCAACCCATTGCTGCAGCTCGGCAGAAATTTCTTCCTTTTCTGCCTGCAGCAGCGTGTAGCACCAAGCAGAAGACAATCTGTCGTGAGGCGCGTGCATGCCGCATCGGCCATATGACTGAGCTGCAATTGCTTGAAGGCTGCACTTTCACATCTCTCAGTCGCTGGCAGTCCTGTTGCCAACAACGGAAATGCCAGCCCAGCTGCTAGAGCCTACCTGTACCGCCTTGAGCTGCCTCGAGAGCACTCTGCACCGCTGCAGGAAAACTCGACCTGATGCAGCAGCGCCATGCATGCGTCGCACCAGCAGCCGCCGTTTGCTGCAAGGTTTGCAGCGGCCAGGGTAATTCTCGGGGGGAGACGGAGACGTAACACTTTCGCCGTCGCAAGATGTGCGCCTGTGTCTGCCGCTCCCGCCAGCTTCAGCCGAGCAGCTCTCCACAGAGTTGCGTAGAGCCTGTAGGAGCAGCAGTAGGAGCAGCGGGACGATTTAAGTGGTGCTTTTAAGCTCATGAGACGGCGCCGTCTGTCTCGCGGCAGCAACTAGGGGACAGGAAAGCAGGGGCAGGCGAAACATTTTAGGATGTCAAACCAGCAGCACCTGGTGGATCGCGTTCAGCGCATCGAAATTGTCTTTCAGCTCCTTGAGCTCTGCTTCTTTCGCGAGTAATACTTCTTGAAGCGTGGTTACTGAGGGCTGCTGCAATGCGTCCCCCTGTGGACGACGACCCTCCTGCTGGATGTGCTGCTGCTGCAGCACCTTGCCACGATGCTGCAGCAAGTCAGTGGTCGTTGCTGCTGTCGCACCTGCAGCAGCAGAAAAAGGAAGGGCAGCAGCAGCAGCGAATGCGGCAGTCAGAAGGCAGGTGACTCGCATCCGCCAGCAGCCTTCTGAAGGAGGCCGTTCTGCGCAATAAGACGACCCCCAGATCTCCTCCTAGCGGTCAAGTGAAGGGAGTTCTCGTGCGCTCTACAGGAGTCGCTCAGACGCATGCGCCTTTCTCGGGGGCAGAGAAAAGGCAGGCGGGGAGGATGAGGGTTTGCACCGTGCCGCTTTACCGTCGCGCGAAGGAGGCCTGCAGCCAACGCAGCGAAAGACAGGAGAAACGGCACGAATGTGTGTGAGGTTGTCGTCACTTTGGCAGCTGCATATCATCGCTCGCGGGAGCACAGAGTGTGTGCGTGCCTGGCGTCCTACGGGGGCTATCTCTAACAATGCCTATTTAGCTGCACAAGGGGGCAGCAGCATTCGCGCAGTGTACCTGCATGCACTTGCTGGGGATCTCCCGACATGCGCAAGACTTCTCTCAGGGCGACTCAACGACAGCCGCTGTATGCTGCACGCCTCGCGGTCTGTGTGCAGCTCGTCTCCCTGCGCTCCGTGTGTTTCTTTTGCTGCCTGATTTACGGAAGCCTCTGCAGCAGCAGCTGCTGCAGCTGCTGCAGCAGCTGCCTCCCGACGTCGTAGCGTTTGCGCAGTGGCAGAAGCCTCAGCGGCGACTGCAGTAGCCTCACGCAGTCGTTGCTGCAGCCCCCTATACCTGAGGTGTATATCCGCAGCAGCAGCACCTGGAGGGGGTGTTGACTGACTGGTCTGACCAGGGTGAAGAAGGTCTCTTGCTGCCCCCTGCAGTGTCTGTGCAGGAACGTGCAGCACGAGACTGCGCTGAAGGGAGAGAGACGCTGCAATCTCGTTTACAGCAATGCGGCAGTGTTTGCGGCAGCGGCAAGAAGGCCTTTCCGAGCGGTTAGTGGTGCCGTACGCCGCAGCTCGCTGGTTAAAAGACACCAACTCACCTGACAATGAGTGCTCTGAAGTGCGACACCGATCTAACAAGGTCTGCCAGCAAACGCGAGACAAGAGGAACGCTCTTTGCATCCAGCGTCTCGATGTAGCCGAGGGCGTCCAGCTGCTGCTGCAGACGATGAAGCCGCTGCACGTCCACCGGCTCTGAGACAGGCGCTTTTGCCCGTTCTGTTTGCTCTTTCTGCTGAGATTTTGACTGGTCTACTCGTTGCCTTGGATGCTGCTTTCGCGAGAGCCCATGACAGAAGGCCTCTGCAGGGGCAGATCTCATCGCCTTCGTGCTTTCGGATTCTGTGGAATGCTGAGGCTGCTGTTGTACGCTGTAGCTGTTGCGCCGACTCTGCAGCAGTGTCGGTGGAGGCGGGTGTGAAGCAGGGGCAGCGGATTGCCCTGCTGGAAGGAATTGCAGGGGGTTGGCGCTGCCTGCAGGTGCACTCTCAGCGAAGACAGGCTTATGGAGAGGCAAGGGCTGATCCGAGAATTGTCGCACTGACGACATACTGCTCCCAAGAGAAGTCCAGACGCAGGAGACCTGCTGCATTGGGAGCCTAGCCGCTGCTGCTACGGCGGAGGATGCTGCTGCTGCTGCTTCTGCTACAACTACTACTGGCGAGGCTACGTTGTTGTTGCTGCTGCTGCACGCGGGTGAGGGCCCTTCCACGGGATGCACGAAGATTCCAGAGGTTCCGGTCACTTGCGAAAGGCTGCTGACGTCGCCTTGACCCGTAAGCCAACCAGAAGTATCTACTGCGCCCCCAGTACTCTCCATGGTTGCCTAAGTTTCTCTTGCGCTGCTCACGAAGGATGCCGATGTTGTTGCCGCTCCCCGATCGTACACAGCAGTGCATCTTTACGGACTAAGCGCCTCCTTCTCCTGCTGCCAAGTACAGGAAAAATCCTCGCTTGGCAGCTAAGAGCAGTCTTATGTTGGTGCTCATGCTTGCTGTGGCAACACTTCGGTTGGAGCTACGCCACGACCTGGCCAGGCCTTGGACGCAGTACAGCCTAAGAAGCGCACGGCTAACATAAATTTTAAAGATGAGCGCCAGGTGAAGCTGCTCGCTTTGGGCAACAGGGGCCCGTCTAGGAAGCCCTAGGGCTGGTGTGTGTGTTTCCCGGGTGGGGTCGTTGGGAAGGAGCTTCGAAATCCTTATGTGGAAGCGACTGCTAACGGTTCTTTTCTCTGGTGTTTTCTAAAATGTTCTATACTAGAAACCGGACCCCGAATGCTTACTGCTTAGAAGTATTTCAAAGTACATGCCCGCATACAACTCTTCCCCGATGCCCTTACACCCGCCAGCAAATACGCGGAAAGCAGACGAAGCGTTGGCGTGAAGCAGCTTCTTGGCATATCCTGCGGTGGCAAACGCTTGCCAGTATTCGAAGAACATGAATTTTAAACATGTGATGCTGAATGTACTCCAGAAAGAGGGTTGCGCTAAGGAATACACAAGAAGCCCCCTGTGGGAATCGAACCCACGACCTTTTGATTACGAATCAAACGCACTACCAACTGTGCTAAGGAGGCGATGTTACGTGCAGTTCCTGCTCCTGACACTGGTAATTGTTTTCGTGGAAATTTTTCCGTACGCCATTTGTGCTGGAAGACGCGTTATTTTATTTCTAGAGTCTCGTAATATGAAAGTCGAAGGTTATTTCAAAGCCTTTTCCTTCCGGCACGCATGCCTCCCATAGGGCAGCCGCCTAAGGTGTGCCGACGGGACTCCTGCTGCGCACTCCCAGGCGTAGGAGAAGCAGAAAACGGAGACAACACAGGGAGCAGAATTTCTTAAGGGAGTATCTGAGGTGGAGATGTTTCTTAGCGCCGAGTCTGCTCGCAATTAGTGCGTCGGGCAGCGCGAGACAGGACACCCGAGTGTGAGCTGTGGAGGCTAGGCGCAGGAGGGACGACTGCTCTCCGCATCTTCGGGAGGCCCCCCTCTTCTCTTGCCTTTTGAGGTTGTTTTGCTGCGTTTCCTGGTGTCACGCGGGTTGCCAACCAACGGCGTGTCCCCTTTCCCGAAGTCTCGCAGGGACCCTTGTATTCCTTGGGGGCCCTTGAAGGTGGGAAGGGAAGCTCCCCTGGTTGCTCCTCACTTGATCTACAGCCGATGCGGGTGCCGGTAGACACCGGACGGAGTCTTCTCCGTCTTCTTCTAGGGCTCAGCTGTATCCTCGTCTATTACGAGGCCTTTCGGGAAGCTGATGGCATGCAGCTCGCAACGCTCTCCGGAAGGACGGGGGGCCTGCCTCTCACATGGGCGCCTCCGCTGCTCAAACCGCCCACAGGGAAACTTCCGCCTTCCCCTCTGACCGCTTCTGGCTATGCAGCTCCCTCCTTTGTGTCCCTCCGGAAGGCACAGCCATGCAGAGCACAGCAGCTCTCCGCTGGGCGAGCGACAGCAACACCCCCAGAAGCAGAAGCAGAAGCAGCAGGTACAACAGTGGAGGCCTTATTCCCTTTCGGATCCCCGCCTGGGCTGTCTGCGACTTCGACCGCAGATCCGCGGAGTGAAGGCGCCCTCGAGGAGGCGAAGACAGTCATCGAAAAGGAAATGTGGCGGCTGTATGCTGAACAGCAGCAACTCCCACAGCAGCAGCAAAAGCGGCTGTCTAAAGAGCAGGTCGAGCAGCTTGTCGGGTTCTCCAAGGATTACTGTAACTCGGCAAAGGTCTCCGGAAAAGTCACAGCAACACAATGCGTTGCGAAGCTCACGTAAATCAAAAATATCCCGTGTTATTTTTACCCGTAGCCCATTTACTCTCCCTTCCCTCTGCTATTAGCGGCCGTCTTTTTCTTCTGCCCAGTTCGTCCAGGATTCTCGCTAGCGACGCGCGACTTATATTCCCTTGTGCCTCCCTCTAGAGCTCGCCTCTGTCCTCCCCTTTGCCCCTTTCGCATTCTATTGCTGCTTGCCAACCGAAAGCGTTGCCTTCTGCAGGGGCTGTCTGTAGCCTCACGCATCCACACTGCTGCCTTGAGATGCTGGCGTCTGCGGTGCTCAGGAGTATCCTTCAGCAGTGCATGCGTTGCTCGTCGCACGTCTTCACCGCCTTTAGTGCAGCTCAGCACGAACCTCTAGACTTTGCGCGATGGGCTCTTGGCATATGGGAGCCGCTGATCGATGTGAAGCGCAGCAAACTTCCGGTATGGTCAGCTCTTGCCTTTGATCGTCTTTGTCTGCTGGCTAAGCGGGCTGTGTGTTGCTGGAGCCTGTTGTGGCTGCATTAGGGTTCTTTTAAAAAGGCATTTTGTGGGCGTTTACGTGGCCTGGAGCGCAGCAACAGCGGCCGGAGGTGTGGGGTTGAAGGGCTGGCAGGATAATATAAATACATATATATATATATGTATATTTACATAAACCAACGACAAGCTTTTTCGGTGCCTGCATTTATTTATGCCCCCCCATTTTTTTGGTGCTATATTCACGGCCAAAGCTGCCATCTCGTCGCTAAGCTGGCGAGTTGCTATGACCAACTACTGCCCTCTGCCCATGTGCTTGGTTCGTATAGCGTAATCGGAGTGCTCGGCTCTCTAGAAACACATCACAAGTTGCTTTCGCGCTGCGTTATTTGGGGTGTCCCTTTTGCACTGACACTGCCCTGCGTCTATGCAGCCTCTCGCGCGTGCTGCTTCTTGTGAGGGGTGTTGCGGTGATAGACGGAGGGGCCTTTCTTAGGGGCTTCTGGGAAGCACATGCCACTGCTTTTGTGTATAGGGCTCACCCGCAAGTGCAGTTAGCCGCATGCACATCTGCTGGATTGAAGAATGCTGCAGAAACCATCAAGCATTTTTGTTTTGCCTACGGTGGTATGTGTGCAAACAGGTTCATGAGACGACACTCGCGGCCCTGTCTGCACATCTGAAGGCAGGCGGCAATGCAGTGCTGTTGTCTAACCACCAGACAGAGCCAGACCCCCTTCTGGCTAGATTCATATTTCAGAAAAAGGGATTCAAGGATCTCTACGACGCACTGACGGCTGTCGCAGGATACCGGTACGCGCGCACATTTCTTGAGCCGCAAGCCTTTATATGGCGGGAGCTTTCCTGCTGCCTTTTCCTGGACTCTAAGCGAAGACGGGGATGACCCTTAATCTTACCGCAGATCGGCTTGCGCGAAGGCGCCTCGCCGGCTGGAAGTGTGTGCATGTGCATGTGCATGTGTATGAGTACATACATATATATATATATATACATATGTATATACATACCTATATCTATACATGTATCTATATCCATATATGTGTACATACATATATATATGTATATATATGTATATATATATGTGTCTAGTGTGTCTGCGTGTGTGTGACGCATGCTGCTAGAGTCCGTTCCGATTTGCTGTCGGTACCGTTTTCGATGAGCTGCAACATGATCTGCGTTCATTCTAAGAAGCATCTGTCTTCTGGAGCGGAGAGCTTAGGACAGCAACGCAGAGAAAACGTTTTGGCCATGCAGGCGCTGCAGCAACTCCTCCAAGCTGGGGGAGCTCTCATATGGGTAGCTCCCAGTGGGGGCCGTGACAGGGCGAATGAGAAGGGGGTGTATGTCCAGCCGGATCTCTTTGACAGCAAAACGGTTCAGTCCTTTGCGCTTCTTGCAAGAAAAGCCAAAGAGGCGACAGGCGTAGAGACTCTCTTCCTCCCCATGGCCGTCTACACCGCTCCCATCTGCCCGCCCCCAAAAGCAGTATTGCACTTAACGCACTTGAGCCTCTCCACTTCCCCCTCTAGTGCACTGTTCGGCTGGCGTGCTGTCCTTGCATGCGCCCTCACCAACACCCGCTTTCGTGCATGACAGGCTTCATTCCCCTCCATTCTCCCTCCTTGCTCGGCTGCCTCTCGTCTGCCCTCTTTTCCCTGTGTGTGTCGCTCCCGAAATCATTCGTTTGCTCTGCACCCTCATTAGCCTCGCCCTCTTTGGGGTGTCCGTATGAACTTCAGGTTGCCAAGGAGCTCGGCGAAGTCCGCACTTGCAACTTCTCCCCCATAGGCCTTGCCATAGGGGAACCCCTCCCCGCAGATCTTGCGCCCCCAGGCCTTACGGCAGCAGCTCAGGAGCAGACGAATGCCCTTTACGCCTCCATCGCCTCATTCCCGTGATTCAGCCGCCGCCATCACACATACATGTATGCATACATGCATACATACACATACATACATACATTCATACACATACATGTACACACACATACATACATACACACACACATACGTACACACACACACACACACACACACACAACAGCAAAAGAAAACAAGATAACAACCAACACAAAAAAAAACACAATACACTCCCTATCGCTACAAACAAAAATAGCCACACACAAACACACCTACATAAACCCCCATCACAACATCAACACCAACACATATCCGTGCTCTCCCAAAAGACCCACACTCACTAAGAACCCTGGGGGGATTCTCTTGCTTCTGTTACTTTGTTTTTTTTTTGTTTTTTTTATTTTGTTTGTTGG